CCCGGGATGGTAGAAATCAAAGGGCCATTAAAAGACTTAATCACCCGGAAGAGGGGGCCCTGGAAGAAGGGTGCATTTGAACCTTGGAGAGGGTTCGAAACCATTCGACATGGTTAAATCTCCAGTATTCTTACCGGTTAAGGATACTACAAGAATTTCTAGGTTACAGGTGTTTCCATCTACAACCTACCGATAAAAAATAAAAAAAAAGTACCCCGGCCGGGTATGGGCACAACAGAACTTCGAAAGTTCTACGTCCGTCGGAAGGCAAGGCAGTTGCCCGGTCAAACCGTGGAGTGGGAATTCACCGGTCAAACTAAACTCTGCCAAAAGAATTTGTGAAGCCATCCAAAAGACAAGAGTAAAGTTCTGCCGGTCAAACTTTTAAAGTTGGCCGAAACGGTGAAGACGTTCGAAAAGCAAAAATTGAAGTTTAACCGGTCAAAGTTTCTCGGGCTGATCCTTGAAATAAAGTGACCAGAGAGAACTTTGAAGTAATACCGGTCAAAGGAAGTATGGTGATTGATTACTATACCGGTCGGGTATCCTATGGTGGCGTTCTAAGAGGCAAAGATCAAAGTATCAATCAACAAGCAAGCAGATATGAAAGATTAACCGGTAGGGAAATTAAGCATTGCATTAAAGTAGAACAAAATGGTTAAGTGTTTTACAACTACACCGGGCATTCCCGGGAGAACGAGTTTGAAGTTTTACAAAATAATTCAACAGGTCGCAGCCGGGAAGATTACTCGAGAGGGAAAGGAGGTGCAGGTTCCTCGTCCGGGATGGGGGCCAGTCCATATGATTCAGCATTAAAATCCCGGAGCCGTTCAGCGAGGATCGCATGCGTGGCCTCCCGGTCCCTCTTTTGGCCAGACATGAAACCGTAGGAGCCGATCTGCGTGATCATCTCTTTCCCCTGCTCCTCCCCGTAAATGAACTTGAAGGCCTCCATCGTCACCTCCGGAGTGGATGTGATCACCCGAGCCGTCTCCTCCAGGTTCTCCCCCACCCATTGCTTGGCCCTGCCGGGGAACTCTCGCTCCTTCAGCTCCAAGTCCTCCAATAGCTTCAAGTTCTCCTCTTTCAACTGAAGGGTCTCTGCCTTGGCCTCCCCGGCAATCGCTGAGAGATGGGAAAGCTCATCAAGCTGCCGGGCAATCAGGTCCTGCAGCTCCTGGTTGTGGGCTTCGACTCCCTTTAACTTCTCCTCCAGCTGAAATGACCGGGAGGGGGAGTCCCCCGCGAGCTTCTCAAAAGTCTCCGGGCCAACCTCGCCCATCTGTGAATTGTCAATCCGACCGGTTAGAAAAATGTACGAGTAGGTCGTTAAAAATAACATACCGGGAGAACGATACCTCTTTCAGCTTAAGGGTCATCTTGACCCACAGCTCCTCCATCGATTCTCCAGCCGGGGAAGTTTCTCCCCTTCTCCTCTTCGCTGCCGGATGTGTGGTGGCAACTTTCTTCATCCTCATCTTCCCCTTTCCCTTATGGAGGGTGGGGTTTTCCGGTCCCCTGCCGGCCGGGGAAGCTCCACCGGTTAGAGGAGTGTCCTCTTCGGAGTGGACCTCTATTGTCTCCTTCTGAACCGGCACGGTTTTGGCGGCGGAAGTGTGGAGACCAGCAGAAGAAGACGCACCGGCCGTCTTAGGAATGCCAAAGGACCTGAAGTTCATATCTGCAAGACGAGTGGAAAGTTATGTGATCCATGTGTGACCAGTAATATCAAAAAAAAAAAAGAAGAAGATTATAGTGACAGATTACCTGGGTGACTTGGGCCTCCAGCCTCCGCAGTGTCGCCCGGGGAGGGTACCCCGTGCCCCGCTGCTTCATGGGCTTGGGAGGTACCCTCGCCACCCGGTTGGGTGCGCCAGACCCAACCACCATAGTGGTACATCTGACCGGTGTAGGGATCCCCCCTGAGAAGCTTTTCCAGACTCTCCTCCAAGTCTGGAGTGGTGTGCGGTTCGGTGAACTGGTGCTTGAGGAGATTGTCACTCCACTTCAAGCCGGCTAGAGGGTTGGCAGAAGGGGGAAATTTTATGAAGACAAATCTTTCCTTCCACAAGCGGTTGCTTTGTGGAAGGTCAGAGATAAATTTGCGATTGTTCCGTCCCTTGAAGTAGACAAAACCTTCGCAACCCGGTTTACCCGGACAAACCTCAAACATATACAAGAAGAGACGAAGAGAGGGATCGATGCGAAGATGGGTGCAGATGTTTGCGAAAGAATTAAGCAACCGGTGAGCGTTGGGTGTGATCTGCCCGGGGAGAATCCTGAAGCAGTGACATAGCTCGACCAGGAGTGGGCGGAGGGGAAAGACGGTACCACTCTCTAAGGAGGCAATATGAAAACCTATCCTATCGTCCCGGTGCGGTTCTATGATGTTGGACCAGTTCTCGTCGTACTCAAGAATATAACCCGCCGGAAGATTCCTACGGGCCTTATTCAAGGCTATCTTAGAAACATGGGGGTAAATGTCTGTAACAAAGGAAGTAGGGAGGGGGGAGTAACCGGCTACTTCCAGCCTCTCTACCCATTGGTCCAGGGTCTCTTTATCCGGGTCATAGGGGGCTGGTTCGTCGCTGACCGGATCCTCCCTCTCCGCAAAAACCTGACCGGGCATTTGGTTCACCGGTTGAGGTTCGGGGATATTGGGTTTTCGAGCTGACCGAGTGTCAGGCTCGGGTGAAGATGACTCGGTAGACGAAGAGGATAGGGTTTCCTCGGATGCGTAGGCATCCGAGGCGGAAATATCCTGACTATCGGAGGAAGACATTTACCGGAAGAAAGAATGGAGAATAAAGAAAGTTAAGGAAGAGAGAAGGGAGCTTACTTGACTCGGAAGGCTAGGGGGCGAGAGAAGGAAGCTTGACCGGTAGAAGCTCTAGAAACGGATTGCAAAGAGTGAGAAAGGCGATGGGGTTTGAAGCCTATATATAGGCGAGGAGAGAGGAGAAGGAGGCGACGTGGCCTCACCAGGGCGCGCCGCGTCAGGCGGCGCCATCATTGCACCTGGGGAGACGAAGGGACACTTGACTGGCCGCGCTCAGTTTCCGACACGTGTCATAACTGATACTTTTTGAATTTTGAAATTCAAAAATTTTGAGCGGGAAAATCCAAAATTCGAATTTAAAAGTCCATTTTTAGATTTTTACTTCCCGCTTATGACACAACTGCATAACCGAGAAGTGGAGGGCTTATTGATGGGTGTATTTCACCCACAACCGGTCAAAGGGCTGGATTAGATAGTTGACCGGTCAAAGAAGTCGAACTCGAAAGGGAGATCTGAATCGTGAGCAAAGGGGTAGCTGGTTGACCAGAAAGTTGACCGGTACACTTCGGGTTAGTATACCGGTCAAACTACTCCATTGCCTAAATCCGTCCTCTGAAATTAGCCAAACCAACCCTCGAAGATCACCCGGTCTAGTTTCCGAAGATCGGAGAGCGTCGGCAGGAAGAATCCAAAAGAGGCTTGGACCGTAGTCGTTGGCGTTGCAGAGATGCTGGAGGAATATTTCTAAGCCAGAACGTGACAAGGAGGGTAATCCCCCTCGCAAGATGACAAGGCGGCTCAGGGACAGTCATCTCGCACCACGTCAGCGACGTGCCCCCACGTGGGCGCACATGGACCTGTCCCCCCAGCTTAGTATATATACCCCTTGTAAACCTCAGAAAGAGGGGTCGAATTCACTCTCTCTAAACTCCCTTGTAAAAGCACCCGTGCATTCTCCGTTATAATATAAATTGGGCTACAGGTGTTCCACCTAAAGTCCTACCGGTCAATTTGCGTGTTTTTACCTTTCTTACTTTGCCAAATCAAGCGAACTATTCTAGACCCGGTCTAGTATAGTTTGACCGGTCAAGTAATTTACACCATCAGGTATAGAAATAAAAAATAAAATTTACATATCAAAAAACTACACGAAAAGTTCTTCGAAATAAGAGGTGTCAATAATATTTTATTTTATCAAATAACCAATGAAAACGTAAAAATAAACAAAAGTTTCCGCGACTACTAAAAAAGCAAATGTTGTGAATATTTTGGGACGGAGGAAATAATTACCTCTAACAGATTTGCTACCAGACCTAATAATTTGGGTATCAAAACACATCAAAAAGAAGACCAGAGGGTGGGCCGCGCGCCATTAATTGGTGAGGCGGGGCAGGAAGTGTTTGTGATTATCAAAGAGACAAAGTAATCAAAGATCCCAACAACTTTTCTCTCTTTTTCTCCCATGGAGATCTTCCCCAGATTTATATCCCAACTCCTGTCCTCAGCATATCGAATTTCCACTCTCCGATCGTTTCTCTTTCTGTAATCTTTATGATCGAACTACCAGATCGATCATATTTTTTGATGCGCACAACCCATTCATATATGTGTGTGTGTATACATACATATATATATATATGGGCGTCCAATTTAATCAAACCCATTCATCGAAGCTTTATTCTTCTTCAATTTTGTTCAATTTCTTGAGCTCAAATTAGATTATTTCCCTTTCTTCTTCCCCTTCAATTACGTATATTGATCCAGTCACAGAATTCGAGCCAAAGGGAAATGGAAGCAGCCGATCAACGCAAGTTCCACGTTCTCGCCGTCGACGACAGCATCGTGGACCGGAAGCTGATCGAGAGGCTGGTGAGGGCGGCTTGCGCCGGCGACGAGGTGGCCGTGACGGTGGTGGATTCCGGGACGAAGGCCCTCCGGGTGGTGGAGGAAGCGGAGGTGAATCTGATCATCACTGATTACACCATGCCCGGGATGACCGGCTACGATCTGCTCCGGGAGATCAAGGGCTGCTCCGCCTTCAGCCACATCCCCGTCGTGGTGGTCTCGTCCGAAGACGTCCCGTCGAGGATTCGCAGCTGCCTGTCGGAGGGCGCCGAGGAGTTCTGCCTCAAACCCGTCCGGCTCTCCGACGTCAAACCGCATCTCTTGAACGCCGCCTGCAGAGGAAGGCCGGCGGCCGGACTGAATCCCGCAATTTGCGGAAACGCTTGATTTGTCGATTATCTTACGGAGCACTCTGTACTAATGAACCACTAATTAATGCAAATTATTAGATCAAATTTGAGGAATTTGAATCCCTGTTTGTTTTAGTTCTGAATCGAAACTAGAAATCAGGGAAGGCGAAGGACAAAATTGAGTTCGATTTCAACCCTAGCTAGAACCAAATGCTCCGCCTTCTGGCCGTAGCTCTAGCTCCGATGAACGACGGCGCCGCTGCAGTAAAAGTAAAACACATCAATTGGAAAAAAGAATACAGAAGGGATTATTTGTAAGCTGCGAAAGGCATTATATATACAGGGATTGACTGACACCTTAGGATTGAGATGACACAAAGCTCACTACTGGTCAGTGCAAAGCTCACCAAAGACAACTACAAAGCACACCAAAGTGTAAGGCAAAGCTTACCATATTTTTTCAACACTTTGAATTTTTTTCCAAAAAAAAAAGTTAAAGGAAAGGGTGCTGACTGGACTTTGACCGCCGCCTGCCACCGGTCGCCAGTCGCCGGTTGCCGTCGCCGCCGGTCGCCGGACTCCTGCCGCCACCACCGGGCTCCGGCCGCCACTGCTGTTCCGCCGCCCTAGACCGGTGGTTGACCGGTGTTGTTATTTTATTTTTAATTAATTTTTTACTCCCTCCGTCCGGAAAAGAAGTTTACGTTTCTCTTTTTTCTCCGTCCAAAAATAAAGTTTACATTTCTAATTTTAATCCACACTCTTCCAAAAATACCCTTCTCTACTTTTCTTTCTTTCTTTCTCTTCTTTTTTCCTTACTTTTTTTCCTTATTTCTCCTTCCTCTTCTCCGCCACTCTTTTCTCTTCCGTCTTCCCATCCTTGTTCTTATCTCTTTATCCTCCTCTCTCTTTTCATTCATTTGCTTCTCCTCCCCGCAAGTCTTTTTTCCTTTTCTTCTTTTCTCCTTATTCTTTGTATAGATCTGACTTCTTTCTCATCTTCCTTTTCTATCTTTCTTCTAGATCTAAACAGATCTGCAATCACATAGATGGAAGATGACGGTGATTAAGGTGGTTGCGGTGATGGGGGCTGGCGAAGATGGGGGATTGGCAGCAGAGATGGCGGCGATTTGCTCGTGCTAGTGCTTCCAGAAATTCTTTGATTTCTTGCCATATGAGATTAAATGCCATAACTATTGTTTTTGTATTTTACTTTTTATTGGTGCTCTTGGGAAATATGCACATATATGATCGTGGTGGGGAAATCTGCGAAGGGAGGCTGATGATTGTGGTGGGGGATGGCCGCGAAAGGAGGCTGCCGGAGACGGGGGCTAGCGGCAAGCCGACAATGGGGGTGGCAGAAATCGGCAGTGTGGTAAAACTAAAGGTGGGAAGGGTATTTTGGACTAATTCTCTCCATAGTCAACCTCCCTTAAAAATGACCAAAAGTCAAAACGTAAACTTTAATACCGGACGGAGGGAGTAATTTTTAAAATTTAAAAAAAAAGGTGGGTTTTGGAGTTCAAAGTGGTGAGCTTTGCTTTATTTCTAGGTGAGCTTTGCATTGTCCATTGGTGAGCTTTGTAGTGTAGTGTGGTATGCTTTGCTTTATTAGCCTTTTTTTTTAAAAAAAAAAGTAGTGAGCTTTGCATTGTTCCTTGGTGAGCTTTCCATTGACAGTTGGTGAGCTTAAATTGATAGTTGGTGAGCTTTACACTTTGACCGCCCATGACCTATGGCCACCACCGATGACCCACACTATTGCCGTGAACCGGTGGTTGAGCGGTGGTTGAGTGGTGGCTGAGTGGTGGTGTTATTTTTTAACTTTTTTTATTTAAAAAAAGTGGTGAGCTTTGCATTGACAGTTGGTGAGTTTTGCATTGGTAGTTGGTGAGTTTTGCATTGGCAGTTGGTGAGCTTTCCATTGGCAGTGTTGTGTGTTGTGTCATCTCATTGAAGCATGTCTTCTTACCATAAGGTGTCATCTCACTAGAGTCAATCACACACACACACACACACATATATCTGTGTGTGTATATATATATTGGGATTGACTCGAGTCAGATGACACCTTACGGTGAGATAACATGCTATGGTCAGATGACGCAAAACTCACCATTGAAAAGTTTATAAAATATAAGGAAGTTTTATTTGTTCAATAATTTGTCCAATATTTTCAAAATCTATTTAAACTAGATATTTATGTAATATGTACTCTGTATTTGTAGATTACAATTTGTAAAATAAGAGTAGTTAAAAGTTTAAATCTTAGTTAAAATATTATATTTTTAAAACTTTTATGAAAAGAAATCATTTTAGAAATTTTATTTTGTAATCAAATTAATTTTAACATAATTTGAAATAAATGCATTCATAACTGGAAAAAACTGTAACAAATCCGGACACACCTTGGGTGACGAATCCGTCCTGGAACGTTTTGAGACTTGAAGCCTGGAGACGGTATGTCACTTCGTGGATTCACGCATGACTCTCGTGCCTTGATACTCATAAACGC